ATTATTACTGTAGCGGTTGGAACGCAGATATGACTACTTGAAGGATTGATTTGATTATCATATGGTAGGAAAAATGAAGAATAATTCATGCCGGCATACCGGTCAATCCGATTCGGTCTGTGTGCTTAGATCAGTAACGATAATGTTAAGAAAAAAGCTCTACTGGCTTTAACTCTGATATACAGGCTAGTGACTTTCGCAGTACTTGATTCATGGATTTTTGTAAGTTGATGTTACTTGAAATCTTCTACATGGTGCAAAAAAATAAGACAGTTTTTTGTGCTGAACATTTTATAATGTAATGCAAGTTTTGTGAAGTGGAAATGAGAAAATGTTACTTTTCCACGGAATTTTGTAGATACTGTTAAGCTCTTAGTTGGTAATTCATCATTAGAAGTATTCATTGATGAAAAATTCTCAGAAAAAGGACTATTTAGTTCTTGAATAACTATGTTTACTCAGTGGACATTTTTACTTCTATTCAAATTCAATACGAAAAGAGGCGTTTACGAAAACGGTTTAGTTATGATTCATGACAATTGAAATTCATCGAAGTGCTAGCAAGTTGAGAGTGACAGCTCATATTATTTCATAAATGTCTTTTAAATGATACACGGTATACTATCAAGACATTTTTCTTATGCTGAAACCTGTGCACATTCCGAGTTTTTGACTTATGAAATTAGCAGAAGTAGAGGCATTCAACATTTTTTAAATATTAGCCGTAGCTTGTTGATCGAACTATAAATTTGAACATTATTCCAGAACAAAATTGTAGAGCATTCAATTTCTTTGACTTTTGCTACTAATTTAGGTTCCGAAAACTGAATAGAAAACTACTAGAGCCAACGCATACAAGAACTTATGGAACAAAAAGCTATTTACTTTGTATTGTCGTGCGTTTGGCTGTAGTGTGTTTAGCAGTGCGTCGTGACCGTAATAAAGTGTTTACTGATGAATCAGTGGTTGTCTTATATCTGATCAACACTAGTTTACTGAAGCCTCCATTATCATATTTGAATTCCAGCAAAATACTTGAAATATATGCAGTAATAGGAGCTTGGATAACATTAGAAAATTCTTTTGTTGCACGACATATATATGCCCCAACTTGTCGGATAGATTATATGGACTGTTATTTCTTTCATTGAGCCAACGGATCCCAAATGATCACATCGACGTCCGAAGCAGAGGTAGATAAGTATTGAGAACATATACATAATTAAAAGAATCACGCGAAATGAAGGTGTACATTTCACATTCTTTCCCGTCTGATTGAGGATGATAACTATCATTTTCGACATTTGATTTACCATGAGTGATCACAATAGTACTCATATAGATCGAGTCTGATTTGATATCATAAGCCGCTTCTAACTAGAATTTCGTTCAATTTATTTAATTTAGATATAAGTGACAGCTAATTAAAATACGATTACTTCTCGATTAATGTTATCAGTATTGATGATTGTCGTGCTCTGATCCTTGTTTGACATCCACTTTGAAGAGAAAATTTGTGTCATTTCGCCACACTCTACACTATGAAATGAATAATCAAAATAAGTAGTTGTTTTCAAAAGTATTTTTGCAAAAAACTGAGTCATTACTCCAAAAATTTGCTCGAAGATAATCAACATAGAAAAAAATAGATTTGCGAACATCAAATAATATTCAATAGAATGAATCTGTCCGTCGTTATTGTTCTAGATAATATGCACTAAGGGTCATTTCTACAAGGCAATGCTTTCTTACCAGAGTTTAGCAAACTTTCAGTTTTCACTCTATTCGCTTTAGAACACCAGCTACACTTATCGACGAAGACAACTCGGATGCTGTTTTTCTTGTTAGTTTCTCATGGTGCCGATGATAGACAATATTCAACATTAAATACAACATGCCAACAAAAATTTAATTCATCAATAGTCTATGTTGTTAAGTTCTTAATTTTGATTTTGAGGAATGTAAGAAAAGTTTTTTGCATTCCATTGAAAAAAAAAATGCCATTTTAACAGCTTGGATCAACTTCTTCGATATATGGTAACGCGACTGCTAATTATTTTGTGGAGTATCAGTACTTTGTCTTTTTAATCCTCAGAAATTACCTGATGACTACTCAGCAGTTTTTAATCTATGAACATCTTGATCTTGATATCCCATAGGCTTATTGCCCGTCGGGGCCAACCATTGTTCGGATCATTTTTCTTCATTGATCCCTATTTTGTGCAAGATGCACCAGTTCTTGACAGCTGCGACCACTCCACTCTGTAATGTCATCAAGCCATTCTCGACATGGTCTACCTCGTCGAGATTTTCGATTCATTCTAGAGAATAGCGTGTGCTTTAGCAGCCTCGTGTCATCCATTCTACAGATGTGACCGAACAGTCGCAGCTTTTTCTTTTTGATGGTGTCTATAATGGTTTCGTTCGTCGATATTTTCTTCCGAATATCTGTATTTTGTACCATGTCCGTCCAACGAATTCCAAGTATTCTTCTGTAACACTTCATTTCGAATGCCAGTAATTTCTTTTTGTCGACTTCCTTCAAAATCCATGTTTCGGAAGCGTACAGCAACGTACTGAAAACACATGTTCTCAAAAGCTTTAGTTTGTTTTCCACTTTAATATGTTTTGTTTTCCATATATCGTTCAGGTTAGACATTGCTCCAATCGCTTTGTTGATTCTTCGCTTTATTTCTACGGAGCAGTTGTTGTCCCATGTGAGAAGACTTCCTAAATATTCGAATTTCTCCGCGTTCTCGATTTTGGTACCGTCCACGTGAAGCTCTTCTGCAGCGTTTTTATCACCGAAAACCATCGTCTTGGTTTTAGCTGTGTTCACGATCAGTCCCGCTTGTTTGCTGATTTGTCTAAGTTTTTCCATTTGTTGTTGCAGTGAATCCCAATCTTCGTCCAATAGATTGACATCGTCGGCAAATCGGAGATTGTTTATTTGTGATCCATTGAGGCTGATTCCATGGTTATCTTGCTTAATCTTGTCCATAACTCTTTCGAGATAAGCAATAAAAAGAAGGGGCGATAGGGGATCGCCTTGCCGTGTTCCAACACTTGTTTTGAACCATTTGCCGATGTCGGTGCCCACTCGAACTGCAGATTGCGATTTTTCACAGATTTTCTCTAGCAATGTAACGATCTTGTTGTTGGCACCATAAGATCTCAGAACAGCCCAAATGACTTTGTGCTCGACTGTATCGAACGCCTTTTGAAAATCGATGAAACAATTATATATTTTCTTACCATTTCTTTTCGATTTTTCCGCGACAACTCTCAGGATCAGAGTTTGGTGGATTGTGCTGCGGCCCTTCCTGAATCCGGCTTGTTCTTCCGCCAGATATGGATCTAGGTAATGTTTTAGTCTGTTAAGTAGCACCATAAGTAGAATTTTTCCCATATGGCTTATGAGAGAGATTGTTCTATAATTTGAGCAGTCACTGAGGTCCCCTTTCTTTGGGATTGGGACCAGGATTGACTTTCCCCATTCATCCTGGATTGTTTCTTCTTGCCATGCTTGGTTGCATAGATCATGGATTTTGTGCAGTAGCTGTTCTCCACCAGCTTGTAGCATTTCGGCGATTATGTCATCGATCCCGGAACATTTGTTCTTCTTGAGTTGTTGAACTGCTGCTTGTATTTTGGTGTAAAGGATGTTCTTTGAATAATCTTCACATGGTGGTGTTATGGCTTCTGGTTCCTTCACCATTTCGGCTCCATTTCCTGTCTTCGTACAGATTTCGACAATATTGTGTCCATCGTTGTATGACGTATTCTCTAGACTGTAGCACTTTGCCTTCTTGGTTCTTTATGACCATGAGCTTCGGCGTATATTGGTTCTTTTTCAACACTTTTACCAGATTGTATGCTTGTTTCGTGTTGCCAACTTATAATTCTGTTTCTATTTCTTCGCATTTGTCTTTTATCCATTCATTTTTGTCTTGTCTTGCTGACTTGGTCACTTTGGTACATAGTTGCTTATATCTTCTGTTGTTCCCTAACGATAAATGCTTTGTCTGCTTTGCTCTTCTTTTTTCATCTGCTAGAGATAGTGTGATCGGCATTTCATGGTTTTTTGACAGCTACTTTGAGCGGCACTGTTACCTGTAGAGCTGCTTTGATTGCGCTTTCAATCTGCTGTGCATGTTCATTCAGGATGCATGGTGCTCGAATGTTCTGCAGATTGCTTTCTAATTCATTTTGATAAAATTGTTTTATAATTGGATTCTTGAGATGGTTAATGTTATGTCGGTGGTGGTATCGTGGTTTATTAAATGGTTTCTTGAGTTGGAGTTTTATATTGCATAAGACTAAGGAGTGATCTGAATGGGTATTTGCCCCTTGACATGTTCGACAATTGATGATAGATGTTTTCCATCGTCGTTGTGCGAGTATCAAGTCAATCATGTTGTTGTGTTTGCCGTCCGGAGATTCCCATGTCCACTTCCTTGTGGGGTTTTGTTGAAATCTTGTGTTGCAGATGAAAAGATTATGTGTGGATGTAAATTCCAACAGTCGTTCGCCTCGTTCGTTTCGTATGCCATAGCTATGTTTTCCCATTACACTTTCCCAGCCTGTATTGTCACTTCCGATTTTAGCGTTCCAATCACCTGTGATGAAGATCACGTCTTTTTTAGGTGTTTTCTTCATTGTCTTTTCCAAACCATCGTAATAGTTTTCTATTTCATCTTCTGTTGAATCGGATGTTAGAGCATAAATGTGGATTATTGTTACATTGAATGGAGTGGCATTAAACCTTGCGGTGATAATTCGTGAATTGATTGGATTGTATCCTAGTAATGATTTCTTGGCTTTTTCACTCATAAGAATACCCACACCTCTTGTATGCGAACCATTTTCTCCGGACCAAATGAAGTCTCCGTTGACTGTTTGCCCTTTTCCTATCCACCGTACTTCTGAGATACCAATAACGTCATATTTATATCGTTTCATTTCATTTCATTTCTCAATAGCTCGAGCTTTCCAGTAGCCTACAGAGTTCGAACATTCCAGGTTCCCACTGTAAAAATATTTTTCGCCATTTTCAGTCGTTGCGCTCTGTCTTCGGTGGTTTTTGTTAGCGCTTCTGTTCGTTTATATTCGGTTGTCGCTGTTAATGATGTTGCGGTTGATGGTATTGCTGTTGATGATATTGCTGCTGATGGTGTTACTGTTGATGGTGTTGCTGTTAATGATGTTGTTGTTGATGGTGTTGCTGTTAATAATGTTGCTGTTAGTGGTGCTACTGTTAATGCTGTCGTCAAGATTTTGGTTTTATTTGGAATTTCAGCTGTTGTTGTCGTTGTCGTTGTCGTCGTCGTATTTCCAGTAACCAATTTTTCGACTCTGCCCTGGTCTCCCGACAGAGGACGCGGACCTTGTTTACCTGGGCGGCGTCCGAGCCGGCATACATAATGATATTGATCGTTCATGGTTGGTTTCTTTCGTCTTGTCTTTTTTACAGACGGCAGTATCTGTACCCCTTCCCCTTCCGTCTAACGCTCCTCCTTTTCCCGGACTTGCGACCGGCATAGAAGTCGATAAATTGCTTCTTCTATGGTGGAGTTAATCTATGAACATGGAAACCTTCATTTATCTTTGGTTTAGAAACTAGTACATACGAATGTTACCGGCGTTAATCCCATATATTACTTAGCTACTAACGCTTTTACGTTTTTGTTTGAAATACAAAATCTGAAAATACACAACAAATAAAAAGTAGGATATACAGTATAGAAAAAGTGACAGACTCTCGTACATATCAGTCGCACTACATAATCCATAGTTCAAGTTACTCAAGTGTTAGCGTCAGCTTGGACTTCTTGTCTGAAATATTGTCGAGGCAAAAGATTGATGAAAACCTAAGCAATTCACTTGCAGAAAATATTGTAGTACAGCTGAAATATTCAATTATTACAGGAAACTCAAGTAAAAATCTTCTTGTTCTAGACACTTTCTCTGAAAACTATTGTTCGATCACTGTACATATTTTTTCTTTCTTGTTTCAACGTCTATTTAAATATATGTTTCATCAGTGGCACAACATAATTTTAAAAAGATTTATTGCAACGATGTGATAAGCATCGAGTTAAAACTTCAAATGAGCACTTTTTGACAAATTTCGGAGCTTTATTTCTGTCAAAGAATACAATTTCACCAATTAAAACTTGGTGCATAAGACGATCTCGATCACTACTCTGGTAAAACTTTCGGGATCGGATTTAGCTGTCTTTCTAAATGACAAAAATCTGGCTCATCTCAATTGTTGACCTGATTTTATTTTACTGGAAGATAAGTATAAAACTAACCTGCTCTACGAATGTTGAGCTTGATAAATTATCAAGCATCGAATCCACTCGATACGATGATGTAGTTTAAGCTATAGTCAGAGTTCTTTGCAAAATGAGCAAAAAATACATCTTTTTAGGGTATGCATATGGATGGAAAGCGGATGAAGGAGAAACTTCACACTCACAATCCAACGTTTAATGTAAAAATGTTTATAGACTGCTCTTTAAGAGTTTAGGAAAAACCAAATGATTCTTGCTACTAGCTTATAAAACAAATTTAATAAGCATATCCTTGTAAACACGCATTATGTTCTCTATCAAAAACGCATTATTTTTCAATATCTATCTATTTGAGTGTGACAGTCTTACGTTTTTCCAGGAACTTTTGCATCACCTGTCATAATCGGTTTGAATACAGTATGACGATGCAAAGAACTGGAATGAATGCTAGACTCGAATTCTCACCTTGCATATCACCCCACTGGATATGTGTATTCAGTTATTGTCGTCTCATGGGCTCCTCTCAGTTATGTTTTACGTGAGAGTTTCTAACCGCTTCTGGTGAAAGAAACAGATTGATGTGACAATAGTCTTTGAAAAACAACTCAGGACTCTCAACTTCGGAAAATGTGTCTGAATATTCCAACAACACAGCGTTAAAAGAAAATCATTTGACTGTTGGCTTTCAATTGTGAAATGAAGAGGTATTTTCAATTAAAAAATCATATATTCCCATTTTAAGTATACTCTGATCTTATTCAAAGGACTTTTGTTGTGAAATGACTGTTTTAAAGTACGAATTGAATCAAACATGGCTTTATACGTTTCATCATTGTAATATGATATAGAAAGCAAAGAAAAATATGAGCACTAGTGTATTCATTACTCTTCATAAAACTTTAGAAAACACGATTCGATTCAACGTACAACACAAATTTGATAATTTTCTTAATCGTTGAATATACATTTTCGTATATCGTACCGTTGATAGAACACTCGTGCATTAAACCTATACTCGCTCTTAAACCTTCAAACAAACATGACTGATGCACATTTGCTGAATGTATATCAGGGTATTTTTTGAAGTAACATCGCATCACGCTTTAGGACTCAATAGAAACAGCTGGATGAAGGATTTTTGCAATAATCGGATAGATCTAACCATATCTGAAATATCTTACAAAGAAGCTAATGGATATTTGTAATCTTCTGGGATAGTTGTTCATTGTACCTATATTTTAAGTATCTAAGATAGAACAGTTCTAATCAGTCAATCAGAAAAGGATGAACGACTCTTTCTCAGTACTATAATGCATTGAAAGTCTCAGTCTTCTTTGATGATCTCTCTGTATTTCTTTGTTTCTGAAAAGGTTTCTATGCAAAATGTACTTTACCAACATTTTCAATGAATCAAATGTGAATTTCCATTATAAGAGCTAGTGTTGATATTATAATAATAAATATCATTCAAATTATGGTATTAAAGATTCTATCTATAGAATTCAATATAGTTACCGATCATTCGTGACATAATATTATATTGTTTGTGCTAAAAGAAAATGCAATTGGAATTTTATTGAATCCCAAGAAAGTTGACGAACAGCACATATCCTACACATGGAGTAAATTTGAACAGCATGTATCGGTCATTTCTCAACCTTTATTTCTTTGCAATCTCTCCTCAAGAAGTGAAGTAACACAGCTATCTTCAATAGAAATTCGCTAAGAAATCAATTCGAAATAGCGGATATATGATCATCGTATTGAAAGTTGCGAAAATTTCATCAAAAAATTTTGGAACTATGAGTACGTATTACTAAAATTTTCAACTGAATTAATCGAGACCAGCTTAGCCTATCAATATCAGGCTCGAAATTATGGCTTACTAGTGTTTGATAGAAGTTTTCAATACGACGATCATATTTCTGCTATTTCGAATTGATTTCTTAGCGAATTCCTATTGACGATAGCTGTGTTACTTCACTTCCTAAGGAGAGGTTGCAAAGAAATAAAGATCGAGAAATGCTGTTCACAAGATGACGCTAGTGTTTAACTGATATCTCTAATAAATGTCAACAGATTGAAGACAGATCATACTTCTGATCAGTGTACACTGAGACCAACTCGGACTCGAAATAACAGCTGAGAATGATGAGTAACGATGACATTTCAAAACGGCGGTAGCTACTTTTATCAGAGACTGCGAATTTGTTGATTTCAACATATTTCGATGACCATCTGCAATTTACAATCGAGAATTCCAATCACTGATGATCTATAAAAAAACTTCGGTGGATGATGGAAGCAGTCAATGCGTATATTAGGTTATTTTAATTCTTCGCAAACATGGAACTAAACTCTTCATTGCCCAGCATGGCAAGAATATTCGTTTTTCGAGAGTTCCATCTCTTATAGATGTCAATCAAAAGAGAGCAGTATATTTTTCACAGCAAAAAGAAAGTGAGCGCTGAATCCTTGATAAACGAAACTAGCGGGAAAATGTTAGGATGTGATCGATTCAATAGCATATTCCTTACATAGGAGAACGTTCATATCATTTCGTAGTTTCTTGAGGAAAATCAACTCACCAGAACAGTCCACCTATGACTGACTATGTATTTATACTGCTATGGACACATAATTGTCGGTGCTATCAAACGATGATATTAGAGATATTACCATAAGTAGTGTATTCTTCAAAAATGAATCAAATAACAATTTGATTCTCTCTTTTATCCAAAAAAATTCTCGTTCCAATCGTGTAGTATTAGGGGTGTGATTTTCCCCTTTATTGAAAATATGTATACTTTATCAGTAATTTAGATTTATTTTAAAGGCACCTCACCCTTTTCCAGGTTTCTCAAGAACGACTCAATTAAAAGTTACAAAATTTGCAGAGTGGATAGATCCAGACTAGTAGAGTAAAAGTTGTCTTAGACTCAGAAATCTGAGATGCCTCCTTCTACGAGATATAGGGAGCGCAGGTACTAAAAATGACCTAAAGTTTTCCCTCTTGCAAAAAATCAAAATTCATTATTTATAGGTGAAGTTTTTTGTAGCAACGATGACCAAATTAGGGTGTATATATCTTTTTTCTTTGAAAAATATTGTTTCCCTTGCTTAAGAGAACTGAAACACTGGAAACTATCAAAAAACGTGTTTTTCTCCGTTAGACAAATTTTGTAAGATCTACGAAATCCTACCAAAACATTATTTCAAGCAAAGAAAAAACATATGTACACCGATTTGATTCTAGTTGCTACACAAGAAATTTCAGCTCAATCGATCGCAGCGTCTGGGAAAGAAAGAGGGAAAGCTTCAAATCTTCTTCAAAAAAGTTGATTTTGAGAGAAACGTGAACTAACGTAAAACGACATTTTTTCGATATTTCATGTTTTTCATTTTTTTTATGCATACCTACCAATTAATGCAGTTTCAAAATGGCTAGGAGGATGCATTGCTGACCCATATAACACATTTTGACAATGAAATAACCATATCAGTATAGACTATTTACAATACGACAGAGCTATAGAACGCGATTGTTTTTGTATAGGGAATATCGAAAGTCGAGTTTTTTAGGGATCTAAATAAATAAACACTTTTCGTTCATATGCCTTGAGATAGAGAACTCTTGAATATCCTTTCAGACACAAAAAAATCAAAATCGATAAAAATGAATTTTGCGGGTTGGGAAAGAAATGGTGCTCTTAAATATCAATAATGATTTCTATTTATTTCTAAATATAAATTTTCTTTCATAATTTTCCGCGTGTGAGTTTATTTTTACTTTCAATTTTATTTATGCATTAATTAAATTATCAGTAATTTAAATTTAAAATAAAAATAAACTATTTTTTTATAATATAGATTTAAAAATAAATATAAATTATAATTTACAATTATTTCAAATATCAATTTTTTTCATAATTTTAGGAGTATCAATTTACATTCACTTTCAATGTGATTTACGCATACGTTAAATTATTAACAATGCAAATTTAAAATAAATATATATTACTTCTTTTTATTATTTATATTTTAAGATGAACACAGCTTATCATTATTTATATGTATTCAAAATATAAATAATGATAAATTATATTTATTCTTGAAAATAAATTTTTTCGTAATTTTAGGGA